TTCAATTACTTCTTAGGAACAGTGTTCCAGATATGAAATTATGACTCAGCTCTGCTTGGTGAATACAGACAATCTAAACTAAGAACTAAATACAGGCTTCAGATAGGCAGCATCTCTTGCAATAATAAAAGAATAATAATCTTAACTTAGGAAAACATAAAGAAAATATGGTTGCATTTTCCTGTAGCAACCTTCGTGGGAACCAAGCTTATCTGCAGTGAAGCTTATCTGGAGCCTTACCCACAAATATTCTGCTGTTCGGGTGTTAGAGGATTCTCATTGCAAATCCAAGTCCCTGTGTATGGCTGGCACCAAAGGAGAGAGAATCTGAAGGCCAGGAAACCTCAGACATTCCACAAAGACCTTAAGACAGGGCAAAGCAACTACCAACCAAGGCTGGCCCTGAGCTCCTCACAGGGGAATTTTCTTTATATAAATTAATAAGCTTGTATCTTCCACACAAATGTGGGAACATAGTGACTACCAAAGACAGGCAGGCAGGCAGCAAAGCAGGAAGTTAGGTCCTAAAACACAGGTTTCCTGAGCTCAGCCTTTGTTACTTGTGTGGTGAATGGTTAGGTTAAGTGTGATCAGCCCTGGGGAGGAGGAGGGAGCCATGATGGCACACTGGAGAACAAATCAGGGTAGTTGACTGTTTCAGACTGCCTGTCATGGGGCAGAAGCTCTGTGCTCCCCTTCCCATACCCATGAAGCTCTCATGAAATGAAGTAGACATTTACTGGATTTCCTGCCTCCCTGAAGACTGAATAGATTTGCCTTCTTTTTACAAGTGCTCATCTTTCATTAAAATTGTGTATAAAATGACTTCTTTTGGAGCTCCGTTGTAGTGGCCCGGCATGTCTCAGCCCCAAGCCATGGAAGCCTTGAGGTTCGGCCTGAGTCAGAGAACGTGGACTTAGAAATTCCTAGTAACCCAACGGCGATAAAGACCAGACATAGGCATCTTGTCATCTTTAGAGAGCTCTCAGTTCCATGCTACAAAACTGGAGTCTCTTCTTTATTCAGCATCTTCCTGGCTGTTAGCTAACCGTGCTTCCCTTGCCATGAGGCCATTTTTCTTCCATCTTCCTAGACCCTATCAGCAGATCTCTCTCAACCATCTCTCCTCCAGATACCTCCTAAACCAATATCTGTCCTCACTTGTCAGGTACACCTAGCCCTGTACCTGGTGCAGGCCTATTCAAATGCTTAGTTCTGTAGGATGCAAACTAGGAGGCATTCTCCACTGAGGCTATGCTATTCAATAGCAAATCAACTAGCATCTGCAATACAGTTGTAGACTGGAGCTCCTGGTTACTGGAACTGGAGGTATGGACCTTGAGAAATTCCCTAATGGACACTCAAAGTACACCATCAGAAATCCTCCTAAAAAGAGTCAGGATTGTTGTCTCTTCTAGAAAATGCAGTTGACTTGGTAGAGGAACACAATGTTGCAGATCTCCCATGGTCCCCTTGAGCTTGGTGGCTAGCCAAGTTCAGCATGTTCTTGTCAAAGGACTATGTAGGGAGAGGACAGTCTGGGCTCCATATTGGAATGTATGGCCACTTCCAACATCGACACCATAGACTTGTGTCCAGACTCAACACTGACACCCCAGCACTGCCTTTGCCAAGGGGACAGGAATTGTGGAACCATTTGTCTTTCCTCTGTTGTGTGGCACTTGGATAAGCATCTGAGGGAAGTCTGAAGGGTGATAGTGAAGGGACTAGCTCCCCATTTCGGCAGCCATAACAGCCGAACACGTATTTGTCTGACCTTGTCTTAGTCACTAAGGTCAGATGCCTGTCTCTTTCGGTAGCCATGACAGTAACACGTGCTTTTCTGACCTTGCCTTGGTCACTAGAGATTAGGTGCCTGCCTCATGGCAAGGAACCAATCAGAAGTTAGCTGGTGATGGTATACTTTACAGCTCTGGGTGTGCTTTACAGACATGCATACAGCAATGACGCGCAGAGCATAGCAACTACCCTGGGAGGGCCGATGGGCCATAACAACCAGTTGGCCAATCAACACAGGGCAAGCCCTCCAAGCCTGGAGGCACACCTATCTTGAGCCTTGCGTACCCCTAGACACTCCCCTTACACTGCCCTACAAGATCTCTATGCAGCCCCTTCGAGCTATCTTTGCTAGCCATCCGCCATGTGAAAGACCTGAGCTAACATGGTGTTAGCTCGTTAAACAACAACAAAGCCTCATGCTGTTTGCAGCAAGCTTTTGAATCAGCCTGGTGATTGGGGTGACCGTGGTCCTGGGCTGAGACCCTGGAGGCCTGAGTTTTCCAGGGGGGGGTCTAACAATAGAAACCACCATTGTAGTCCTCAGGTCAACCTAAAACCAGTGTCTTCTGACCACTGCCCAAGTTCTCCTCAAACTACCACTAATAAAATTATTAACAGATCTTTCTTGTTACTAAAGCCTGGGATTTTACCCCATAAATCCAATAAAAGCTGTAATTCTTGGTTGCCAGTCCTTGGTTGCCCTTACTTGCTAGGGACTGCTTTTTTGTGTCTTCTTCATCCTTAGGACACTGGGCACTGCTCCTGCCTTCTAATCAATCTGCTCCTTGGATCCTGTGGTGTCATCTGTGGACATCTTCCAGTTCCATTCCTAGTTCCTTTGTCAGATCTTAAGAATTCATCTTCTGCCTGGCCTGGTGTTGCCCCTGCCCCCTGAGTCCCAACACTTGTGGGCCAAGGCAGGTGAATCTCTGTGAGTTCCAGGCCAGCCAAGGCTGCAGGGCAAGATTTGTCAAAAAAAAACAAAAAAAAAACAAAAAAAAAAACCTTCCAACTGGATTTTGTAGCACACACCTGTACACTTAGCACTCAGAAGACTGAGGCAGGAGGATTACTAGTTCAAAGCTAGTTTGGACTATACAGTGAAACCCTGTCCTAAAGTGTGGGGGGGGATTATTTTCCCCTATGGTCCTTTTAACTGTGTTCTCACACTACCTTAAGACACTCCACCTGCTTCCATCTGCTTAGCCACCCCTCTGAAATATGAGTTTCATCTCTCATTTCTTGCTGATTAGCATGCTGAACATGTAAAAGCATCTCTCTGTATGTCTTTGCAAAAGGATGCTCCCCTCTGGCATTGCTGTCTCTAATGGCTGCTTCATCTGTGACACCCTCCTGCTCATTCATTTTCTGTGATGTCAGAGACAGCCTCTTGATTCTTTGCCCTAAGTTGTGGAGCTCTTCCCCCTGTTCTCCAAGCTTCTACTTCAATCACGCTGGAGTCTGCCCTTCAGATTTCACAGCAGCTTCCTGTGTCCCTCATCCAGCCTCCATCTTCTATACAGCTACCAAAGCCATCTTTCTCCAGCCCCTCCCTGCTTAACAGTGGATCTGTGCTTGTCAGGGAAAGCCCTACCTTTCCTAAAAGCTACCTAAACCACCATAGAACTCGCATTTAGAGATGTATGTGCCTTCATTCTTAGAACAGCCCCTTTTTCCTCTTTTTGTCACTCAGATGGCCATTTGTCCCTCCAAAGCCAGCTGAGTGCCCCCAGGAGATAATCAGGCTTCATGAATGAATGAGTTTATTCACACCTGCCTTGCCCTTTCATCAAAGGTGAACATTTCCCTACTCACTATTCCAGAAGTACTCTGTTCACATCATCATTGTTCCTGTGTCAGCCCTGTGGCTCTACTTCATGCCCAGCTCAGCCAAGAATATGTGCTATGAGAGCCAAGATGTGCTTCCACGCTGCCAGGCCCTTTCTCCCTGGAAGCCATCTTGCCCATCCCTGTTTCCCACTTAGATCCTCCCCAACACAGCGCTAACTTGGCCAATTTGAGCAGTGGCATTCACACACAATTTCACATCCCTGAAAATGGACCCTGAGTTTTCCACTGACTAGCACAGTGGGTGGCCCCAAATAGCCACTCACCTGCTGAAAAAACAAACAAACAAACAAAAAAAAAAAAACGGGATTTTCTTAATACAAATAAAATATTGGTATTTTCATCTTACTGTAGCTATATATTGTTTCAGGTTACAAATAGGTCTGTCCGGGAGAAAGTACACAAGGCAAGAGATGAGAGAGGTGATTTGCTAAAATTCATTGTTATGCTTTGCAAAGAGTTCTTCACACAAAATACAGTCAACAAAATGATTGCCTGTGCTACCCCAGCCTTCCTAATCACAAATTCAGCCACTGCTTTGCCTTAAAAACCAGCATACAGCATGTGATTTCTTCTAGCCTTGCCTTTGATTTGTCTTGCACATTTTTCAGACGTGGTTAGGAAAAACATTTAGAACATGAAAGCATGTAATGTTATATTCCATTTTTTAGAATGGGTTTTTTTTTTTTTGGTAATTGTAAAAGAAAACTGGAAAGTCTAGGTAATTTTAAAACTAGTTAAAATACACTTCGAGAGAGTGTCTCTTTATGTATTGTCTGGGACAATAAATTTCAAATAATGCTCTTAGTAAATTTGTCTCTGAAACAGATATGGTAGCTCTCAAAAAGAAAAATATGTGTCAGAACAATGTAGAAGACCTCTTCCAGGGGTTGTACAATAGATGCAATGTAATCACACAGAGTGCAATGAGCTTCACTCATCCTGTTCAAAGCCTTCTTTAAATCTGGTCACATTTCAGAAATTTTAAAATAGAATATTGAGTGATATAAATAAATCAAAAAAGTTCCTATCCTTTTCCTGAGTCCCTTAATGTAGAGAGCTGGCTGTCTCAGGCTCAAAGTGGACCTTTCTTGCATGTCAGTCCTAAGGCTCTGCGACACAGTAAACAGAAAGATGGGAAAACAGAGAAAGATAAACAGGCAGGGCCAGTGAAAAAGCCTCACCACATCTGCTTCTATCTATGAAGCCTGCTCTCCTTCTGTGGCATCCTTTACTTTTTAATAAACTTAATGCTGTTGGTGAATTATTGAAATGGTTCCTTTTTCTCACACCCTTTCATGTGTTTTCTCTCCTATTCTGTTCCTACCTGCCTTGTGTGGAAAATCCATCAGGCTAACTGTCAGGTACGTGCATCTTTGATGTTTAATGTGATGACTAAGAGTATGCATGGAGAAAAATGAAGTAAACAAGACCATTGGTGACTGGTGACAAATGACAGGGCTAAGCGGGAGAGGCATATAGTAAATTACACAGAAACTTTTGTGGCTGAATACACTGAAGAAGCTGCAGACCCCACATAGGAAGCCAGTGTGAACATCGGTCATGGGAGCTTAGCCTGCAGGAATATGACTGAGCTGTAGGATGAAGTAGCTTGCCTGTCCCATCTAGCATTTGGCTGTGGCTAAGTACTGCTCCTGGAAGGCTTAATTGTCATCAGGCCATATGAAATCCTGTGTGGTCCTGTATGACTCTGCTATAAATATTACATCCACTTCTGGGATTTGGCCAGGATCAAAGACAGTTTGCAGGGATGTATTTTAAATCCCTGTTTTAAGTCTGTATCTGAACATCCCTTATGCCTTGAAGAATGAAGGTGACCAGGAGGAGAGAACAATGATGGCATATATTTTGTTGCTGCTAAATGCACCTTTAGTGTTAAATGTGTTGTGATTTAACTCTTCTCAAAGAAATAGACCCAGAATGAACTGTCTTTTGCTGGTGTGAGGGACAAGGACATTCTTGTGCCCATAAGAAGTAGCAAGGCCAACAGACACTTTACGAGCCTAAAGCATAGCTAATGGCAGGAGAGACAGCTATTTAAATCTGATCGTGTTTGGGGTGTGTGTGTGTGTGTGTGTGTGTGTGTGTGTGTGTGTGTGCTTGTGTAGTTTTTAGCTTCGGTTCACTTTTTCAAGAGGAAAAAAAAGCGATGTGCTTCAGTTGCCATGCAACACACACTGCTCTAACAGCATTTTAATTCTAATTTCAGAAGTCTACAGAGCAAATGAAGAAAGTCCCCACTATTATTCTTTCGGTCTCATATAAAGGAGTCAAATTTATTGATGCAACAAATAAGGTAGGTGGCAAACCTTCTCTTTGGTTCAGACTCCAGACACAATCCCAAGTATGTGATCTAAAATCCGGGCATTTTCACCACTCCTCCCCTTCCTCACCCTGATGCTTCCTGCTCATACCTATAGTAAATGTACACATGTACACCCACTTACAGAGAAAGGCATGGTTACCAGGGGTGCTGGTCTAGGATTGCTGTAAGTATTTTGCTCTTACATTTCACATTGTTCCCTCTAGTAAACTGGGGGCACTTAACAGTCATGTCCCTTTGGATCTAGAGAACATTCAAACAACAACAAAATCACTTATTAAAGGCATGGTGTCATTCCTTTGCCATAAGAACATAAGTAGGTGAAAGGTGGTGACATTGGTCTTTGTGTGGTTCTAAACAAGTATATTGTGTGTGTGTTTTTGCCCTTGGAAAGAAACTACACTTGATCTTAGCCAAAAGGCAAAGAAGTGATTGTCCCCTCTTTCAGTACAGGTCATGAATGCCTGGTGTAAGGAGTACATCCTGACTTTTTGTATTCTATAACTACCTTTCATTCCTTATTACTCAAATGAAGAGAGTTGCCACTGTTTGTTTTCTTAAGGGACAAAATCAGAAAAGCAGCTGAAGACATGCTGTGTCTTTGTGCTCACAGTGGAAGCTCTTGGCAGCTCTGAGGCTGAGTATGGCCAGCTGGATTGTTTTTTACTTGAAAAGCATCTTAGCACTCCTGTCAGAGCCAAGACCACAGAATCCCAGTGCTTACCTCAAAAGCTTAGGTGTGGCCCCTGTCACTGTCCTAAAAGCTGACTGGCTTCTCACAAAACCCTCAGTTCCATGTACTTTACTTTCCCATCCATCCTTTTCAACTGTTAAAGGGTAGAAGGGAGAGATGAAGTGATCCCCGTTTGTAAACAGTATTTGCCTTCTGCATCACGAACCCTCATCTTGCCCCCAGACCCACTCCATTTTGGGGAAACATCATGGAGAGTCATGAAACAAGTCAACTTCAGCAATGGTGGCAGGGAACCAGAGCAACTGGATTGCAATGTCAGGGAAAAGTTCCATGGACAATAGCTCTTTTGTATCTCTAAACCTAAGCATCTAAACCAACCCTTTAGACATTTTCCTAATTAGTTTCCTATAAAATGTTTCATTGGCAGTTGGATGAGCCCAAGTGTTCCTAAGAATGCTATGGAAAACTACCTCCCAGTTTGGGGAAAATTCTAGAACTCCGCATTGCCATGATGGCTAACAGTAGCCCGAGTACATTAAGTGCCTGGTCTTTAAAGATGACTCAGCTGTGCAGTATGCCATTGACTGTCACAATGTCAGATTACAATCAGAACAACCCTTGATGGGCTTTCTGTTTCTTGGAGAATTTAGTTTCTAGTACATAAAATTACCTTATCCTTAAATCAGAATTAAGTTAAAGAGTTCTAATGTTGAAATGTTCGTTGAAGATACCATTGCTTTCAGTCTATCTAATGAGAAAGGAAGGCTTTGGCACTTGGACCTTCTGCCACATATAAAGACACACACACACACACACACACACACACTTATACACACACACCCATCACACCCTCACCCTAACTTGTGGTGATATATTATTTATGATTTATTAAAGTTTGCCTGAAGACTAGAAAAGCAAAGTAGTGGGCCACTGGCTCTTACCTATTATGAGAAGTTCTTTGTCCCAGCTGGTCCCGTTGCTCTTGGGGCCTAAATAAAGACACAGATGCTGTATTAGTTATAAAACTGTTGGTCAATGACTAGGCATTCTTATTGGCTAGCTCTGTCTTAATTATTAACTCATTTCTAAAAAAAATAAAATAAAATAAAATAAAATAAAAATAAAAAAAGACAGGCATTGGTGGCAAACGCCTTTAATCCCAGCACTCGGGAGGCAGAGGCAGGTGGATCTCTGTGAGTTCCAGACCAGCCTGGTCCACAAGAGCTAGTTCCAGGACAGCCTCCAAAGCCACAGAGAAACCCTGTCTCGAAAAACCAAAAAACAAAACAAAACAAAAAAATTATTAACCCATTTCTATTATTCTATGTATTTCCATGTGGTCTTGGCTTACTGGAGAATACCCAGGCTCACATGGCGACTCCGCCTACATTTCCCAGAATTCTCCTCTCCTCCTAGTCCTGCCTATCTTCCTGCCTCATTGGCTGAACAGTGTTTTATTCATTAACCATAAGAGAAACATAGATACAGAAGGACAACCCCCATCACTTACCACTACCTCGGGCTGAAAGGCAATCCTGGCTTCACCAAACCTCAAACCACAATAACCTAGAACAACTGTCTCTACTGAATTTGGAAAGCTTGAAGAGAGGTGGTGAATTTGACACTCTCTGAACTGATTTGGATTCCGACAATTTCCAAACATGGGCCATTTGCTCTTGGAATTTGCTGCAGTCTGGAGGGTCAGGTCTGTCATTCAGTGGTGTCATAACCACCTGCATCTACATCAGTAGCATTCTCTCAACCCAGACCCCCACCACCAGAACAGTGAGGGAAGCTTAGCTAAACCTACTGCAGTTTGCAGATAGAGGCACAGAGGGATGCAGTCACTGATGATGCCCTGTACCTCTTGAGATGCTTCTAACTCAATCACCAGGGGTTTCATAGACCTCTGCTCAACAGCCTCTTTGAAAGTAGCATCCCAGAAAAAATAGAGTCTTGTGTAAATAAAGACCCTGAATAAAGGATATCCGAGTATCCTTCAAACCCTTGCATCTTGGTTTGTGACAGATTTTCAGGTTCAGGAGAAAAGGCTGGTGGTACCAAGCTGTCTGTGACTATCAACACACACCTGGCTCTTTAAAGAACTGGATAACATTTACTTCAATTGGCTGTGTGACCACTCTTGCCGAACATGACAGTGTTGGAAAGACTGGGTGACTCTGGGAGGATCGTCTCCTGGTTGCTGTGTGAGAGGGTGAAGTAGAGACTGATTTAGAAAGCAGGAGAAAGATGAGGATAAGGCTGCATTGGGAGCTGAGAAGCATGACCAGAGCTGAGGGGCTAACTTCAGAAGGCATGAAGGAGCCACAGAAAGGGAGAAGAGATGAACTAAACTCAAGTGAGGGTGGATAAAGGAAGTCCACAAATGCCCAAATAAAAGAAATAACAGATACTTATTTAGGCAACACTCACACACTGAAGGTAAAGCACCACCTCCATCTTCTAACCCTGGAGGCATAAGATGCTTCGAAGCAGAATGCTCAGACTGCCACCCAAAAGAGAGCCAGACCCCTCCTCTCCTTTAAAAGAGACCACATCTGCACACTAAAGCCACCCCCTAAGGCTGGTACCTCAAATCTATTGGTGGAACAAGTTGCCACTACACTCAAAGGTTGCATTTTAGATTCTTAGGATGTCCTGTCCCCCACTGGAAAGTGTTGCCTTGGTGGGATATTTGCTCTCAAATGAAAGGACTTGTGAAGTGTAATTGTGTATGAGGACCTCATCATTTCAGGTGCTAGTGGCCACTAAGCCTGTGCTAAAGCACACACACACACAAACACACACACACACACACACACACACCACACCTCAGTGTTTCCATTGTATTTGTGTCTTCAGCATATGTCCCTGTGTCTTAAACAGGTAAGGTAGACAGGGTTGTCCAGTATACACAGACACCTGAAGGTCCCTGTCCTTTGACCAATGTCTGCCCACAGACACAGCCCATTTGTCATGGAGTTTTCCACTGTCTAACCTAATACATTTTCTATTACTCCACAGCTACCTTCTGCCAATTAGCTTAGAGTACAATGGGCAATTAATTATATGTTAATTACCCTTTCTTTCCTATTAGCCCCCATTAGAGAATGCAAAAGATGAAGCCTCCAAAGCAGCATTTCTTTTTTAGTCAATAAAGAAGTAGCTCTGACTGAGTTCACAGGGAAGGACCAGATGCCTGGTTATAAACACATAAATGTATTGCCTAGCAACTTAGGAAACTAATCACTAAGGCTGATTTAAGAAGGAAGAAGCAAAGGGGATCTTGAATTTGAACTGGAACTTGGAATAGATTTAGTTCTAAGATGTTTCAGGTAAATCATCTGCTTTCGTAGATTTGGTAGACTAGCAGCCCAGAATTAGCCCCTGCACGAACCTGGCCACAAGGACTCCAGCTGTTTGGTTACTGACCTTCCTTGAAATTAGCTGGGTCTTCCAAGAGGTGACCCAGTTCTCACATCCAGGAAGAGGCTTGGGTCACATTTGCCCTCCTATGCTATCTCTCCATAGCCTTTCCTGTGAGTGCACTAGGAGTATAGGATTGGAGTCTATTTCACTTTAGTTTGCATGGTTTTTTTCTTTGAATGGCAACTTCAAAGATGGCAATAAGTGCTCATTGTTTCCATGGCACACACTTCTCTTAAACAGATGGGAGTTCCGAGAGACCACAGTTTGTCTGTGCTGCAGTCTTCAGCATCCAGCACCCCACAGTTAACCACCTCTCAAAGCACTGCCTCCATCCTAGTCCTTCACTAGGGGGAAATACTTCAGTCCTGTGATGGATGGGAAAGAGTCTGGCCTGAGGAAATGGTCAGGAGAAACTCTGTGGTAGAGTAAAGACTGAAGGATGCAGTGAAGGGTAGATCCCTAGGCTGCATCGCTTTGGAATCTCATGCTCTTTTTTGAATTGTCATATTAAGTGGCTGGACCAACCAGTTCTATTCCACACACACCAGCCTGACACATCTGTAGCTGTTTCTCCACATGGTGAAAGGCGGTGGTCAGGCAGAAGTGGAAAGGCATTAAGCTTCCAAACCCTATCCAAAGGAGAGTAGGTGAGCCCCTCCCAAGTCCTTCTCTTGAGCCTTCCGTAGAACAAGCATGCTTAGAAATGAAAGCTAACATACAAAGGGTCTGATCTTATACTCATCTACAAAACAGTACCTCATGGTAACAACACCTTTTAATTCATGGAGCAGCCACAATTGATCATGACTGAAGGGTGAGGGATGCTCTCTCGTCTTTGAATTTTCTCCAAGGAGTGAGTTGGCCATCCAGTTTCCATAAAGTCTGCAGCTGCAGAGCCCTTGGCCTTGGATCCATTCCACAGACAGAGAACTGGCCTCACTGCCCCCCAAAGTGGATGATGGTGAGGGAGGCAGTATCTCTACTCAGAGATCCTAGTTCCCACCAGGGTCTACAGGGATATATTACAAAGGTCCACAAATATATTCCTGCCTGAGTAGGATTGCTTCCCTCCCTGCTAAAATACTTTCAGCAGTGAGGAAAGATGACATTTGTATAATATAAGCATCATAGAATGCCTCAAAGAAACATTGAAGCTAACCCTGCAACTGGGGATGAGCTTCAGTGATAATGGCTCCATACTTTCTGCCACACTTGACCTCTTGGGGACAAGAAGGAAAAGGCCGTCAGAAAATCCTGGGGAAGATTCAGAAGACAGGAGGACAGAGCACTGGAGACCAACTTACTTGCTTTGTTATTTTTCCCAGGACCACAACCCTGTCACAATGAATTGTCAAGAGCCTGGAAATTCAATGCAGCAAACCTCACAGGGCACTTCTCACAGTAACATTCCATTATGCTGACAAAGGTCCTCAAGGATACAAATGCCAACTTAAAGCTAGAGCCAGTACTCACTGGCTCCATGTATCTCCTGGGCAAGTGTTTCTTTACACGTTGTTGTGACAAAATGCAAGATTGGAAGTGACTTAAGGAATAGAAGGTTTATCCTGGCCAGGTATTATCCATTGTTGCAGGGAGGTCACGGGGGCAGGAGATGAGGCAACTGGTCATGTTGCATACACAGTGAAGAAGCAGAGAGAAACGAATGTTATGCCCAACTGCCTCTCTACTTTTCGTTCAGTCTGGGAATGGGCCCATAAAAATGGTGCTGCCCACAGTAGGCGTGGCCCTTCCCACCTCAGTGAACAGTAATCAAGACAATCCCCCTCAAGCATGCCTAGAAACTCTTCTACCAAGTCAAGCTAGCTTCTGTCAAGTTGACAACACTACCCACAGTAGGTAAAGCCAACACTGAGTCCAGACTTCAGGAGTCCAACAACGGCAATCTAGTGACTCTCCACACCTGATAACATGCTACTTCATGGACATTAAAATTCCTTCTAAAGATCTGTGGGTTCCTAATTCAGTGTTTTGTTTAAGAAATGCTACATGAATGCAGGAAGAGGACCGTGACTTTCTGTGTTGAAGCTATCTGGCAGCACAATGTTACTTGTTTATCGTTTCCAATTTCAGTGTGAGTTATTTTTTGACAGAGTGGCTGCACACAGTGTCAGCATTCAAGGCCACAGTGAAAAATGTCTTAATTTAATTTTCTTTTATGTGTTAATTCTGTAATTGCTTTCCAACCACAGAGCTTGGTAGAGTGAGGGACATGAAGTACTCGCTGAGGGTGCTGGCAGGGAAGGACATTTTGTAAGTGTTTTTAAGCATTGATGAGTAGACGTGGAACATTGTATTGCCAACGGGTTCTTTAAGATATGCAATTAAAAAGTAATTAGGGTAACTGAAGCACTGGGGGTTTTAGATCTATGACAACTGAAAAGACAAGTGAGAAATTATAAGATAAAAAGTGATTGGACTATTATAGGGCTTTCTAAATACATCTGTGTGTCAAAAGAAGTTTCTAGCAGGTTTTACAGCAAATGTGTTGCTCTTCGGTTATTTGTGCTTCGGGACAATGGTACTAAACCGTTCCTCCCTCCAGTTATTCTCGGAGGCTAGGAGCAAAACAATATAAGAAATGCAATTCTGCCATGAGCCAAGACACAAGGGGGTGGGCCTAGGTCCTATCCCAAAGGATACGATAGACTCTGATGATACCCTATGGAAGGCCTCACCATCCAGGGGGAGCAGAAAGGATATGTGATAGGTAGGGCTTTAGTTGGGGGGGGGGTGTTAGGGAGGAGGGGAAGGGGAGGTAACTGGGATTAACATGTAAAACAATCTTGTTTCTAATTCAAATAAAAAAGAAATGCAATTCTGTCAAACCTGCAAGGAGGGAGGACAAAAACCATTGCAGTGCCCCCCAAAAGAGTGTCATCTCTCCTAACAACCCAAGACCTTAACCCCAGCTCCACACCTTCCCTGCATGAAGTACTGAAGGTCCAGTTTCCTCACCTGTAAGACAGTAGCAGTAACGCGCGCACGCGCACGCGCGCGCGCACACACACACACACACACACACCACTGTTCTGTGGTGGGACTAGTGAGGAAAAAACTGTCGTATTCATAGGTCCTTGCAGCCAGCAAAGCACCTAAAGCCTGAACATCACAGTGTAGTGTTTCCCTTCCCCTGCACTCTCAGCCTCCTGAGAACCTTGAAGAGAGAGAGAGAGCACCAGGGCTTCCCCACCCGCTTTGTTCTGAACTAGCCCTTGCTTTGGGAGTGGAGAAGTGTGGCATAAAACAAACAGTAGAGCACTTCTCTAACATGAGCAAGGTCCTGGATTCCATCCCAGTGCCTGAGAACTAAGCAGGTGGGGATAAATAGGGGACAAACACAACAGTGAAGGATTTGGACAAGCTCCTGCCGTCACAGCTCCCCTCATACATACAAGTGACAGATAACCGCTTCCAGACAGGATTAACAGTAGGCAAGACTTCGCATCTACAGCAGGACATGGGGAATGGAAATGGTGACACGCTTAGTAATTACTGTTTCATTTTGTTTTCTAATTTTTGTCACCCAGACTGTTTTCATACACAGAGTCTGACAATAACTGATCCAGGATATGATGATTATAAGTTGTTTGTATCATCATCATCATCATCAAATGAAAACATTCTTTACAGACCTGGCATACATTTCTCCATGGATGGGCACATTGAATCACTTTGAATATTGCTGGTCTGGAACATTCTAGAGAAAAAGGAAAGCAGCCAGTTCCCAGATAACCTATCCTGATTCTAAAATGTGTTGATTCTCAAAGGAAAACGATGATCATTTATGTCATTTCTTCTAGAACATAATTGCTGAACATGAAATTCGTAATATCTCCTGCGCTGCCCAGGACCCAGAAGACCTCTCAACATTTGCTTATATCACGAAAGATTTGAAGTCCAACCACCACTACTGTCACGTGTTTACTGCCTTCGATGTGGTGAGTCCCACCCTCTTCAGATATATGTGTATCCCGTAGATTCGTAATGTGTGTCAGTTTGCTCACATTGCCATGATGAAACACTACAGACTACATAGTTTAATCAACAGGAATTTATTCCCTGTGTTTTCACAGGCCACAAGTCCGCTGTGTTTTACAGTAAGCATGGTTTCTTCTGAGTCCTCTCCACCTCCCACATGTAAACAGTCAACCTTCTCATGAGGTCCTCTTTGTGGTCTTCCTTCCACAGAGATGCCTGCATCCAAATTATCTCTTCTTTCAAGGATGCCAATCAGACTGGACTAGAGCCTATACTAACAACCTATTTTTACTCAGCCATCTCTGAAAAGCTCCACCTTCCAAGCCCATCACACCCCAGAGCCCTAGAGATTAGATCTCCAAATGGGATTTTTAAGGTGATCTCTTATTTGACCCATAAAGCCAAATAAGTATTTTAACAGGCTAAGCTTTCTTGAGTTTCCTGTGTTTTCAGTCTCTCATCAAGTTAGAACTCTATATTTTCCTTATACCTCAATTGCTGATACTCAACTATCAACTTCACTTTTCGGATTAGAGAAATCCCTTTCTGTTCTGGTACAAAAAATACAGTAAGATATCCCAGCCTCCTGTCCCTTCATTATCTCTGTGGCTTGCTCTGGTGGCCATTTCTAAGTATGAGACATGATAAATATGCCTACCTCTGTAATATTCAAGTTTTTTTTTTCTAGTAGTCAGATTAGATACCATACAAATAACAGTTGGGAGCCTCAAGGTTTGGCCTGTATGTTCACTTCAAAGTAAGTCTTAAAATGACTTCCTTGAGGTATCACACCATGTATATCCATACTTGTCATTAAGTTTGAAAACTAATTTAGTCATTACAGACTTAGAAAGCAAAAACAATTTAACAATACATGTCCCTTTAGGAGATGCACACCCTCGAGATGACACAAGTGGCCTGTGAGATAGTTCTGAGATAGAACCCTAGCCATTCTGCAATTGAGGCAGACAGAACAGATGTGCCCATGAGTCTGAAATACTTTACAATCAGAAGAATCTGAACTGCCACTTTAGTTTGATTTTTTTTCTTTCCCTGCTAGCTGGATTTTAAATAAACAGATTTAGAGAATTAAACAAAAATCAGTGTAATGTATTTTGGGGATTGCAGTCCGTGCTTCAGGGTGGTGGATACAAGAATAGTCTAAGGCCTTCCTTCCAGTTCTAAAGAACTCCACAGACCAAGTCTAGCCGTGTCCCAAATTTGCAGCATGCTAAGGACTGTCTGCCAGACCCACACTTACAGCCTATAAATCTTGCTGTGTGCTGCTCTGTCCTTTAGGTTTTGATTATTGAAAATGGCAAAAGATGCATGTGAGCTTTTAAAATGCCACCTTCTGTTTCAAGAGAGTTAAGGAGAATGATACAAAAACAGTGCATGTGATAAGAGTCAGGACCGAAAAGCAAACTCTCCAAGGCCACCTCAAGTATCTCTAAATTCAATGCTTGCACAAACTTAAAGTGCTGATTAAAGTCAATTTCATTTGCAGTATTGGACATGCAGTATTGGATTTTTGATCCCAAAAATGTATGTGTAATCTGCCACTCTTGTGAAATTCAGTTGTTTCTTTAAACGGTCAGTTTTCTTTCTCCACATGTTTTGGTTTTCATGGCATACCTTGCTCTAAGGGAGCTGAACTGGTGGTATAAAACTAACAGGCAGATTCATGATCACATCCGGGACCAGCTTGCTCTTCTTCAGGGTCACACCTGCTTTCTCCTCCATCCCTGATCTTAGACTTTTCAGAGTCCCAAATTCCTGATGTATAAACCAGAGACAAGGATTTGTGTTCTATGACTTTTCACCAGGATTGAAATGGAAGAACACTATGAAGTCCTTCATAGTAACAGTTCCAGGGCTGGCTGGCTCCTTCCCACCCCCCTCCTTGCCGACTGACCAGCCTACAGCTTGTCCCTTTTCTGCTAAATGACACTCGATAGGCTTTCCAGCGAGTATTCACCAGGCAGTGTTTCCCCTCTGCCAGTGGGAAAACTGGAAAAGTAGAAACAAATAAAAATTGAAATAGAAGCACTAGAAAGAGGACACTAGCTCATCAGATCTAATGGCCCTGAAGCTGTTTTCATCCTTTCATGTTACTGTTCTGAGGTTTCTCCAGTCTTTTGCCAAGAGATGCATCACTTTCAAAACAAAACAAAACAATACATTAAGACTCTATATAATTTCCTTTCACAAGACTTCTAATGTGGAGCTGAAATGGAGGGGTAGGGAACAAGTGAAGGAGGGAGAGAGAGAGAGAGAGAGAGAGAGAGAGAGAGAGAGGTGAAGGAGGGGAGGGCGGGGGAGAAAAATCCAACCACAACTGTTTAGTTTTATGATCAACATGTCTTGATAAATTCAGAGGACATGTGGCAAATTGCTGCAGCATTTATCTTTCATCCAGATGTTTGGCTTACGGTAGACACTCACGAGCTTGGAGTTCTTGTATCTGCTCCAAAGGATTTTTGTTTTATACAAATCTGGCATTTTAATCCTCTCTACCTGCGCACAGTTTGTCTAATTTCAAAAATAGTAACAAAGGCCATCATCCTGGACCTTTGAGCAATTGTGAGATACAACAGCTTTGTTTGCAAAACAAAACAAAACAAACAAAAAAAGGTTCTTTGTATCTTTATATAGGGCAATCCCACATTTCGGTCCAATCTTGAGGTTCCATGGTTCATTTGATGTAGTCACCTGGATTACCAGAGATGACAAAAGAAAGTAACAGATTCCTTATAAAGTTCAAGTGCATATTTAACATTCTAGGTGCTATGGGTAAGTGGGATTTTGTGGTGGTGGCTTATCAGCTTTTGGGCCTTGTAGACCTTTTGCAGGCTGTCATCACATAGCACATGGTTTTATCTGCTGTCCAAATAAACCTCAGTGACATCTAGGAGGCTTCCAGTTTGTGAAATATTCCAGAACAGTTTGCCATAGAAATCCTGTGACCTAAGAGGAGACCCCCAAAGCCTTCTTATGAACACTAGACTGTGGATTTCACATAGTTTGTGTCCTGGGTGGCACTGTGATGCACTGGATGCATGCAGGCTGGAGGAAAGAGGGCACTGTGCTGTTTCTCAAGCTCACCTGGTCCTGGGGGCCACTTTTGGAAAGCGCATCACAGCAGTGGCACTTCCATTTTGGAGAATGTTAAGTCTGGTGATACCTAATATGTTGCCTGTTTCCATTATTTACATTAACACTAAATTTACCATTTAATATTTTTCACTTTCAGATATCAGGGGGATGAAAATAAAAAAAAATAGAGTACAACAAATTGAGGGTTATGGATTAGTTACTTTTGATGTTGCTCTGACAAAAACAACTTCAAGAGTGAAGGATTCACCTTCGCTTATGGTGTCACAGTAGGGAACAGGTAGCATCAAGAATATCAGGCAGCTGGTCACACTGTGTCTGCCCGCAGGAAGCACAAAGAGGAGTTGTGTTTAGCCAACACCCCCTTTTATAAGCCACACTCAGGGTGCAGCTTCCCTCCTCAGTTAATCCGTCTGGAAACACCCTCATAGACTCACCTGGAGATATGACTCCCTGTGTAGTCCTAACTTCAGTCCAGTTGACAACAGTGATTCATCACCACAGACTATTGTTTTAAGTTAGTTTGCTCCTGTGGATCAGCAGCCACACTGTGGTTTAGTCTGTGACCACAGTATTGTGGAACCTGCTGTCTGTTCCTCTCACCAGCTGGCTAAGCCTGGAAACACTTCTCAACCGCTATATATTGGGTTTCCCAGACTCCACCTGGGCAGTGGCATCTCAGAAAGGGGAGCATGGGGGTTATGTCAGAAAAGAAGGATGGGTTTGAGACCAAGAAGTCTGAGACTCACAAATACATTTAGCTTTTTATCTCTTTAACTTTCTCAACCCCCATGAGCGATGGGGAACTATGAGACTGTGGCCATGAACTCTCCAAGCTGTAGTCATCTTCCTGAGGAGGCCTCCAGGAGTAGGCAACACACAGAACCAAGGGAATTTGGAAGCTTGTCTTCTCTAGTTCACCCAGCAGTCAGTTGATGTGGTTAGATTAGAAATACGTTGATACATTCTCTATGGGAGTATCAGTTGCACTTTAAGAACCTGGGGAAACCTTCATGCAGTTATTTCAAATGTTAAAACACTTCCCTTTATGCCAGAGTAAGCATGAACTTGAGTCCTTGTGCATGCTAAGTAGGCACTCTGCCACTGAGCTATATATTCTACCCACCCCTTTTCTTAAGCAGCATTCAAAGCTTTACCTTTTCCGCTAGACCAGTGGTTTTCAACCCATGGGTTGAGACTCCTTTAGGAATCAAATGACCCTTGCACAGGGGTTCCATATCAGAAATCCTGTGTCAGATATTTATACTATGATTCATAACAATGGCAAAGTCACAGTTATGAAGTTGCAAGGAAAATAATTCTATGGTCAGGGCTCAGCACAACATGAGGAATATAGCATGAGGAAGGATGAGATGCACTGCGCTAGACCCTTACTAATTCTTAGCTCTCTATAAAGAACATGTTTGCATGCTCTGGTATATTTTAGCCATGCTCGTTCTCCTCTTACTTGCAGTTCTGCAGTTTCGTCCTCTTCCGTGTGCAGGATGTGGTGAGGATGAGACTGGCTTGGGGACATGTAGGAACATGTCCCTCATGAAGCCATGAAACTGGAGGTCAACACATGCGGGTGGAGCTCCCACTTCCCTGAAATCCTGTGACTGAATGTGGGCCCTGGAAGGACCTAAACTGGAGGGACAGAAATGACAATATGCAGAAAACACTGTGTGGTAGCATGCCATACTACTCCACCATCAGTAGATACCATGCAAACTGAAGCCCGGGCAGCTAACACATAGGAGTCAGTCATACTATGACCAGGAATGGAGCACATCAGAGATGTGTACAAAAGAAGGTTGTGTTGTGACAGCGGACATTGGGGAGGCTT